TGTTGCACAGTCTGATGAATGACAGGAAATAATTCCAAAGCCAATTGAAAGCACCCTACCTGGGTGAGGGGAAAAAAAAAAAAAACCCAAACAAATAATCCCATAGTGGAAGTTTGCTTAGAAATATTTTAGATCTTACTCTTGCCATCAAGGCTGGCAAAAATCACTTATCTCTTTACATGCTGGAATGAATTTTGTGTGTGTGTCTGAGGGAGAGAGTTTGGTCCTTATCTGTCCTATCTTTCCTGTTTTTTCCTATCTGGGGCCTTGATCCATCCCCCCTTACCTTGCTCCTCTATTCAGAACACTTCATAAAACTCAGTGCCCATAGCAGGGAGACTTCCTAATCCACATAAAACATTCTGCAGCAAGTTCTATAAAACCTCATTAAAGCTTCAACATTTCCAGGGACAGCTCCAGAAAAACACTCTTTTAACAGGATGCATTTGCTTCTCCTTCCAGTGTAACCATGTATGGGACACTGATTAGCTGAGATTTCAGGGAAAATCCACCAGAAACAGCCACAAAAGCAACAAGCAAGGGCAGAAGGAAGGAAAGGCCAGGGGTGAGAGCATCCCAAATGCCCTTGGATCACTTCCTGGTCTTTTTGGGATAAGTCATTTAACATTCTTGTGCCTGATTGACACTAACATCATTAAAAGGTTGGTAATGAATTTCAGTGCTATATAAATCACACAGAAAACTATTACCCTTAATACCAGCGTTACGAGGCTTTAATAATTAATGTCATCTAAACTTCTTTCCAAAGCATGACCTTTGAAATCAGATTGCTGTGGCCAGAGCCATCCCTCACCCTGCAAGCAGCTGCTTTCCAGCCAGCCTGGTAACTCCAGTGGGGCTGTGCTGGGAAACCTGGCTGGCTCCAGTTCCAGGAGCAGCTCCCAGAGGGAACCTGTGCTGGGGGAAGCTCCACTCCTTGTGCAGCAGGATACCAGAAAACACCAACAGTGAGAAATCCCAGCTGGTCTCGTCGTAGGGCACTGCCCTGCAGGGTGAAAGGGGTGATGTGGGCACTCCCTGCTCTTTCACACCCCTTCCCTCCTGTTTTGTGGGGATGCTCAGAGCCCTGGGCTGCTGGCCCTGCCAGCCCTGGAGCACCACGGGGCTAAAGGCTGCACCTGGAAAACTCCTGAACTGGCACATTCTCCTCTTTCATGAGCTCAGTTTAGCCCCAAATGATGACAGAGGGTATTTTATTTTAAATAAACTCTAACTTCCATTCACACGTGTGCCTTTGTTGTTCTGTGAGTCAGAGCTGCTCGGGGAGGCTGCAAAAGGCTCCACACATTTATTTTTTCCAGGCTTTCACACAGCATGTGGGTGCTGGGTTAAAAATAATGTGGCACCTCTCCTTGAGCTTCCTCCCAAGCAGCGGATCCAGGCAGGGGATGTGCAGGGGAAACAGCAAATGGAGCTGCAGCTCCAACAGCCCACGGAGTTAATTCCTTTAATTTAGTCATGGTGCAAGCAGGATGTGAAAACCCTCCCAGAGAGGGGAGGGCTGGTGTTCTTTGGTGCCGTGAGTTTTACGTCTTTCCCTGTTTTCAGTGTTTGAAAAACAAAGCCCCAATGCTGCTGGGATAAGGAGCAGAAGTTGTGCAGAGCTCCTTCCACTCCACAGGACCTGGCTGCAGCCCATCCCACCTGCACTGTGCCACTGCAGGTCTGGAACCCAAAACCAAGCTGCTGGTGCCAGTTTTGCTGCCCAGTGTGAAATACCCCACAAACACCATCCACAAGCAACAAAAATCTCTGAAATCTCCCTCAGCAAGTGTTCCCAGGCTCTGAGAGCTGCCCCGTGCCTTCCCTGGCCATGGTGCCAGGGCTGCTCAGCACCTCTGCTGTGCTCCAGCCTCCCCCCAGCTGTGCTGCCCACGAAAAGACAAAAAATAGCAAGAGCTGAACAGCTGGCATGGAGCACCCATCACCTCCCACACGAGTCACAGCAGCTCCAGCATCCCAGCTTGTTGCACTCACCTGCTCCCTCTCCTCTTTCCTCGGGCAAACGCTGCAACCCCAGGCTGAGGCTGACCTCCCCTCCCTGTGCCCAGAATGCTTCTCCCAGCCCGGCATGCAGGGAAAATTGCTCAGTGAAATCCTCAGTCTGACACCACATCAGAGCCATGGGTGGGCTCAGGGGTGGCTGCCCTTTGCTGGGTGGATTTGCTGTCCAAATAATTCAGCACAGAACAAATTTGAGGGAATAGGAGAGGAGGCAAACCTGAGGTTTCCTACCAGTTGGTGGCCCAAGCTGACAGGACCAGACCTTTTATTTCACAATAACCTGAGTGCCTTCAAGGTGGCTTCTGTTGATAGGGAAAAGACCAGGGAAAATCATCCCTGCAGATGTCACCTGTCAGAATCAAACTCCTGTAGCTGAAATGAGACGTGCCCACCACCCCCAGTGCACAGCTGAGAGCCCAGGGAGAGCTCCTGTAACAAATCACTTCTGTTCTCAGCCACTAATGAAGCTCAAATCCCTCCTCAGTAATAAGGTTTGACCTTGGGTGCATCCTAAAAGCTACTGCTGAGGTGCCCACGAAGCTTCCACACTGATTAAAGGGTGGTACAAAAGGCTGCTGCAGTGCCAGGGCTGCAGAGCTCCTCTGGCTGGGGCAGAGCCCAGCCCTGCAGAGCCTGGCACAGCTGTGGAACATCCTGACCTGGGCAAGGTCCCACCCAGCTTCACTTGCCCCACGTGTGGCTGTGGAGGAGGATCCGCAGGAAGAAAGAGCCCAGAAGGAACAGTGAAAATTGGGAAGGATAAATGATGCTGCCAGCTGGTGTTATGTGAAACAATAAACTGAAACAGCTGTTGCAGGATTTGCCAAAGTCCTGCCCCAAGGCTTGGGGGGATGCTGAGAAGATGTAAAGTGCTGATTGTCCTGTCTGGGGCAGCCATGCCAAGCTTCTGTCCAAGAGGAGGATTTTCCACTTCACTGGCTTTTCCCATCATCGGGGAAATACATGTTCTGGGGAGGAATTCTGGAGAGCTGCAAATGAGGTGGGAGAGCTCAGCTGTGCTGCTGGGGTTTTGGGAGGCATCACTGGTGCTCTCTTTGATGCTGGCCCTGGAATGCCTGTGGGAAACACTTCTGCTGTGAGTGCTGCCATTGTGCTCTGCCAGGGCAGGAGCTGCTGTGTGGGACAAGCAGCAGCAGCAAATCCACCCGAGTGCTTCAGTGCAACTGCATCTGCATGGTAGCAAAGGGGAGGGGAAGAAACTGAAGCTCAAAATGTGTATTTCTAATTGATTACATGCATGGCTGCTGGGGGCCGCTCACACTGTGTGGTTAATTATGTCACTGTGCGAGCTGCAGCTTTATTTGTGTTGTACTCCAATGATCCTGCCCAGAGCCCAGGCAGCAGCAGAGCAGGTTGTCTGTCAAGAAAAATGAAGGTCTGCTTTGTTTGGGTTTCTTTTTAACAATATAGAGAAAAGAAGAACGATGAACAGCCAATTACTGTGATAAAATCATCCACCCTGATAGCACATGGGGAACATCCAGTTCTAACAAGCCTCCTGTAGATTTGTGATTTTATTGGCAATTCCCTGCTCATGATCTCCATCCCAGGGAAGCCTCTTTCTCTTAGGATCCCCAGAGGGCATTGCCCCTCTGGCTGCCTTTTCCAGTGCAGAATCTATTCTGCTGACCAAATCCCTGCTTTGTCCTTCCTGTCAAACTCTCAAGGGATTTGCTGCTTTAAATTATTCCTCAAATGGGAATAAGAGCCCAGGAAAACATGCTGAATACACGGTAATTTAAGTATTGCTGTAACTTTGTGTGAAAGTACTTCTTATATAAGTTATCTAAGTTATGGTATGAGTTTTATAAGTATAAATAAGCAGAAACCTCTTACTGGGAGGCAGTTTTCTACCAGTCTGGATCTGGAACTTGCCTATTTTGGGCTCTACCACGTTCTGGCTGAAGAAACCCAAACCTCCACATCTGCATCAGCTTCTGTTCTTTCTGTAAATCAAACAGAGCTCACCAAGCCTGAGCACACGGCTCCATTGATTCCAAACAAGCCACCCAACAACACCTCCTCCGCATCTCAGATCTCACTTTATTTTGAGTTTTTTCTATTTAAAGCAGCCCTGTTTTGCTAACTGGGGACGCCTCGGCAAAGATGCAGCACGTTTTAGGCAGGGAGCTGGGGACTGTGGTGTGTGAGCAAAGCCCCTGCAGAGAATGAGCTGTCCCTGCAGATATTTCCATTTCCCGAGCTCCAGGTGCTGGGATGGAGTCCATGAGTTCCCTGGGCCCTGCTCCTGGGCTGGCACCTCCTGCAGCAGTTCCTGCATGGTGTGTGACCCTTTTCTTGTCCTTCCTGCTCTATCCAAGGAGGTGTCCCATTGCTGGACACCTCCATGGAGTTGTCTCCTTCTTTTTGGTCCTGCCTCTCATTTTCGATGTGCTTTGGCTGAATCACCCAGTCTGGCAGGGGTTTCCAGAGCCCACAGCATCTGCCCCTGTGTCCCTCTCTCCTCTAGCCCTGGCTCTCTCGCTGCCAAGCTGGCTCTGTCCAGCACACTGGGCTTGCTGCCTGCAGCCCTCCCCGCTGTGTCCTTAGCTGTGCGTTCCACCGTGCTGCTGGAGCCAGCTCCCCCTGCCCAGCTCCCGAAGGGGCTGTCCCGGGAAGCGCAGCCTCCCCAGCGCCTGGAGCAGAGGTTCTGCAGCTGTGCGGGGCAGGGAGGGAGGAGGCGCAGAGGGGCAGGAGCAGGGCTGGCTCCCAGTGGCAGTCACAGGGACTGGGCACAGATGGGTGGGAGCAGGAGAAGGGAAAGGAGGAAAAAAGCGGGGAATGGAGAGAAAGTGGGGAAATACAGAGAAAGGGGGAGAGGCAGGAATAGGGAAAGGGGGGATAGAGGGAAGTGAGCGGAGGGTGGGGGGTAGAGAGGAAGAAGGGGCGGATGGAGAAAGGGGGAGGGAAGAAGGGGAGGATGGAGAAGGGGAAGGAGGGATGAAGGGAGGGAGGGAACGGGGGCATGGAGGGGAGGGAGAGGTGGGCTGGCCCCGCCGGCGCCATGTGATGCCCTCTCCTCCCCGGGCTCTCCCGGCGCGGCGCGGAGCGGAGCATCCCCGGGGCCGCGGCCGCGTCCCGCCCGGAGCAGCCCCCGCGGGGCCGGTGAGTGCCGGGACTGGCGTGGGGAGGGCGAGGCTGCGGCTCCTTCCCGTGTCCGGGCCAGGCTGCCCCGGGAGCGGGGGGGGGACGGCCCAGGAGGTGGCTTCGTGGGGGCTCCCCATCGGATGTAAAGCCCTGAAAGTTCAAAGGCGAGGGAAGAGGGATCAGGGTGCGGAGCCGCAGGGCTCAGGGCAGTATCCCTGTGCTTTCCGTATTCCCTCTGGAGTGGGAAGCGGCGCGGGCACCGCCCCGGGCAGCATCCGCCGCATCCCAGCGCGGCCCCGGAGCGCAGCGAGCCCCGGCGGGCGCGGCCGGAGCCGCGGAGCTGCCCGGGTGAGGTGTCCGTGTGTCCTGCCCGGGTGAGGTGTCCGTGTGTCCTGCCCGGGTGAGGTGTCCGTGTGTCCTGCCCGGGTGAGGAGCCCCTGTGTCCTGCCCGGGTGAGGTGTCCGTGTGTCCTGCCCGGGTGAGGTGCCCCTGTGTCCTGCCCGGGTGAGGTGTCCGTGTGTCCTGCCCGGGTGAGGTGTCCGTGTGTCCTGCCCGGGTGAGGTGTCCGTGTGCCCTGCCCGGGTGAGGTGTCCGTGTGTCCTGCCCGGGTGAGGTGTCCGTGTGCCCTGCCCGGGTGAGGTGCCCCTGTGCCCTGCCCGGGTGAGGTGTCCCTATGTCCTGCCCGGGTGAGGTGTCTGTGTGTCCTGCCCGGGTGAGGAGCCCCTGTGTCCTGCCCGGGTGAGGTGTCCGTGTGTCCTGCCTGGGTGAGGTTCCCCTCTGCCCTGCCCGGGTGAGGTGCCCCTGTGTCCTGCCCGGGTGAGGTGCCCCTGTGCCCTGCCCGGGGCTGGCACCGCTCGGGTGGCGGCGTTTGACTTCGCCCGATTCCCGACGGAAGGATCCGAGCGCGGGGAAGCCGGAGAATCCCGGCGCTCCTTCCCTGAGCTCTCGTCCCTGGGCTCTCCCCCCGCAGGCTGCTCTCACAGAGTCCATGGCTCGGGCGCTGAGAGCATCCCCGTCCTCAGCGGCGAGTTTGGAACGTTCTGCTGAGGAACGGATGTGGATTTTTCCCAGGGAATATGAAATCAGGCTGCGAATGTTTTCCAGTGTAGCAAGCCCCTTGGAGAGGGGAGTGAGAATTGAGCGAGGCTATCTGAGAAAAACCTGACCTGCTTCTTAAGTGAAGTGCCGGGGGTGAGGGGAAGGGCTGGATCGTGTGTTACCATATGAACAGGGAACGGGGACGTGGAGCCTGTCCTCACTCCACGAGCTCCTTATCCACAGCCCGGGGATGGTGGTGAGTTGAGATGTGAGATGAGAGATGTGAGATAATGTGAGATGATGTGAGATGATGTGAGATGTGAGATGATGTGAGATGTGAGATGATGTGAGATGTGGTGGCTCAGCCACCGCGGCGAGCAGGGAGGCTCTGACACGGCTTTTGGCTCTTGATTAATTGCCGGATGCTCGCGGAACTTCATCAGCCCCTGCCTGACGCGGGATGCTCTTTGCAGCTTTGCGGGCTGGGGCTTCAGGAGCTCCTCGGGGTGCCCCGGAGCGGGTCTGGCCTCGGCAGCGCTGTCACCGCCGTGTCCCTGTGTCCCCCAAATCCCCCTGGGCGAGAGGAGCTCTCGTCGGAGCTGCTGGCTGCCTGCACGGTACAGGTGAGCCTTTGGAAAGGGCAGCAAGAGCATTCCCTGAAAACAGCACAGCTTCAGCCAGAGCACTGCAAAAGCTATTTCACCTAAAGAAGAGAATTTCTGCTGAGTTTCCTGCAGCAGCAGCGAGTGCTGGTGGCATGACCCAGGCTGGCAGCTTTGCTGGAGGAGCATTCCCGTGTTTCCATCACTGCTGCCCTTTGGTTTCACAAGTGCCTCGTGTCTGGGCTCCTTCCAGAGGCTCCTCTGCCACTGTTGGAGCAGCACATTTCAGTCTGTCATGTCGGGACCCACGTACAAAGCCCAAGGGCAGGAGACTGGCTCCCAGCAGCCCGTCCTGTGCCATCACTCCTTGCCCCCAGGCTGCCCCAGGTGACATCCAGGGACAGAAATGCCTCTGCGTGGAGGTTCCTCCGATCCCTTGCTGTATTCTTGCAGCTGTTGAATATATTCATTGAGCTGAATGGATTTCCACCTGACAGCATCCATAGCACAGCTTTTGCAGGTTCAGCTTTATTTATGGAGAGGGGAGGGAATATAAAATACAAAAGAGAAATAATGCAAAAGCCTGCAGAGATTTCAATGGTATCAGTGAGCTGTGCGAAGCTGGAGTGAGCACCAGGAGCTTTCCCTAGATCAGCTAGGAAGATTTAAACCCCTGAGTTTTAAACCCCTGGGTTTAACATGGCATTTTTAAAGTAACTTTTGACCTAGACCCCATCATCTAGTTATGTGGAGATCTTAATCTCACTGAAATTAAAGACAGTTTGGGTTCTAGGTGTGTTCTAGAAAGATGGTTGGGTGTTAAAAGTCACACTGATTGTTAAAGCTGTAGAGCCACAACTTCTAATATTTGTAGTAAAATATTTACTGGCAAAATGGAATTTGTGAAAGGACAACACACATGCCTTCATCAGGCTCAGATGTTGGCCTGATGTCAGTGGTCACAGATGAGTGGAGTTTGTGTGGGGTCTTTTAGGAAGACAGGAATTACAGTTTTTCTTTTATTAATGGGAGAGATATTGCTTATCAGTGAAAAATCTTGCTAGAGCCATGTCAAGGCTGCACTGAGGGCATTATTGGAGCAGCACAGCAGCTGCATCCACTGACCCAGGACAACTTGTGGAAAATTCATTTTCCCACCCAGTGCCCATCCAGTGCTTCCTGATGACAGCCCCATCCTCAGGGAGCAGAGGCTCAGGTCTGCCAGGGCAGGACCTGCCTCAAAGCCCTACAGGTGGCCCTGGCTCCTTCCCAGGAGACACAAAATGGTGATGGCAGATGTTCTTTTTCCTTGCAGCAGCTCTGGCTGGGAATATCAGGTCGGGTGTAGGTGGCAGGAGAGGTGCTGCCGGGTGGGTACAAAGGGAACGGGAGAGGGGCACAGGCAGAGACCAGGCACACACAGCCAGGCCAGGTTTCACCTGGGAAGAGGTGCTGGCCTGGGGAAGGGTGGAGAAGAGTGAGACCAAGTCCATTCCCTGCCTGTTCCCACAGACTTTCCCAGGATGTGGCTGCACTTCCCTGTGCTGAGCAGGACAGGTGAGCCCATGGCCTCCTGACCAGCCCGTGGTGCCTGTGCCTGTTCTCAGGCTGCTCCACCTCATGCATGGCTTTTCCAGCCCTGTCTGCCCTATTAAATACTGGAACTGGTAACAAATCTTGCTAAAATCTGAGTGGTAGAAAGTTTAGCACCTCCAGTGATGCATAAATACATGTTATGTACATTAATATTACTAATTATGAAACCCAACGAGCTACATAAAGACCTTTCCGATGCGAAAATGGGACCAAACTTTAGTGGCTGCTCAGTGTCAGACCTGGGGAGTCGTGCATGAAGACATCACCAACAGCTTCCCAAAATGCCAGGGCAAAGCCAGTTGGAGCAGCTGCTGGCCTTGGTCACTGGGTAGAGTGGCAGCCACGAGTGTCACCGGGTTGTCAAGTGTTTGCCAGAGGTGTGGCTGACACAGCCCCTGTGCACTTTCTGCCATCGTTTCGCTGCTCAGAGGCTTTGCAGTGGAGCTGGTTTCTAAGCAGGGGAGAGGGAATGCAGACTCCTGGCTAACGAGGCACTGCTCCCTCCATCCATCATCCTTAATCACGCCGAGGGGACGCAGGTCCCTGCAGCCGTGGGCAGCACGTGCTGCCAGCCCAAAGTGCCACTGCTCTGCAGCCCTCAGTGCTCACAGAGCCCAGGCCCTCGGGGGATTTCTGCCTTTCTCTCATTCATCACTCTGAAAATGTTCATGAAGCCCCTCCAGCTGCCAGCACTGGTGAGAAGAGCGGGAGTGGGGGAAGAGCTGTGGCTTCTGCCTCCCCAGCTCAGGTACCCACAGACACAGGGAGTACAAGAGCTTTAATTAGCTCTTGATGCTATTTTTACCTCCTAGCAAGCTTTATTTAGCTCAAGCTGTCATGCACTGATTGTTAAGGGGAAAAGAAGGAAGGGGTGTTGGCCCCTCTCTGCTGAGCAGCCTCAGCTCCTGAGCTCGGGCTGTACCTGGGGCTTTTCTCAGACCTTCCACAGCAGGGAATGTTTATAGCCCAGAGACATTTCATGGACAGCCCTTGAAGTGCTTGCACTGAATTTGGGGGCTCTGCTCACACCCACTTCAGTTCAAAACAACATCAATATCTCACAGAGCGGGGTTGGAGTACTTCAGTCATAACCTGCCTTGTGCTGGAACCACACAGAAACCTTGAAAAGCTGCAAGGAAGAGGATTATTCTCCCATTTTTAATCTACAAGGCTCTTACAGAACTTCATGCCGACTTGAACGATACTTGGAAGTGAAAGGGGCCAGCTTGTTAATAGCCCACCAGAGCAGCCCAAGCTTGTGCTGCAGTGAGTGGATGGGCACAGCTGAGCCAGCTGCTCTCCCTCATCCCTGGCTCTGTCCCTGTGCCAGCCGAGGAGAGCAGAAGGCAGCACGGTGCTGCAGCCTGAGCAGGGTCACTGGATCGTTGGGGTACTGCAGTTCCTGCCTTTGGGATCTAAATACCAGCCACAATGCACCTCAGGCAGAGGTCAATGGGCAGGCACAGCTCCCATGGCAGCGAGGTTTCTGCAGCTCCTCTAGCACAGTCCCCAGCTGGTTTGCTTTGCACCATTAGATATTTCCCTCTTTCACTCTGCTTTTGTAGCTTTTTGTAGGGTATTGAAACTAGCAGTTGGGCTCAGGTCCCTGACTGTGAGCGTTCTGACACTGCGAGCAGGAGAATTCTGTGTCAGATTTGGTAGAGAGAGAGGGCTTTGGGAAGAGCTCTGCAAAGGGCAGGGCTCAGCTATTGTTACAGTTGTAAACTTTGAACAGATATATTTAGGTTAGGCCTGGAGAGCTGGACCAGGGTGTGTGGGCAATATTGCAAGCTCAGAGCTTTAGCTCCTGTTTCCCTCTCGAGAAATGCACTTTGTGTAATGCTTTTCTACAACACCCCAGGGCAGGAGCCGCCAGCACGTGGATGCAGAGACCTGCCTGCCATCTGCCTGTCCCTGTGCCCCAGCACCCTGCAGCCCTCCCGTGGGTCAGTCAGAGGGGGAGAGCTGAGGCTGTGCCCTCCCTTCAGGTCCTGCCTGTTTCCAAAGCCATCCCACTCCCAGCTCCTCCCAGACCATCCAGCAGCTGAAGCCTCCAGTGAGGAGCCTCATCCTTGCAGCTGATCTGCCAGAGCTGCTCTTCCCACCTGCAGCCCCATCACACCTTCTCCACTTGCCAAAGCATCGCTTCAGCTGGGGCTAACAGAGGTAAGAGCCTGAGCCACCAGGGAAAAAGGAGACACATGGGTGGGATGGGCTCTATAAAAGTTTTGTGGGGGATATCTGTGGATCCAGAAGGACCATGTGAATGAGGCTGGCTGTGCGCCAGCAGCCTGTGAACCAGGACCATCAGGGCTGCTTGGTGGATGATTTTATTTGTGGAAGCTGCTGGGTTCATCCCAAGCCATTATTGTGAAAGAGCTGGAGCAGTGCCATCACTCCAGCGAGTGCAGCAGCGTGGCACAGGTGCCCAGTTTGGGAAAGGGTCTGCTTTGAGGGCTGGGGTGGGAAAGAAATCTCAGTAACTTCTCCTTCGACCTTGGGAATATCATTTGATCGCCTTCTATTTGCTGCTGGAGCTGAGGTGGGCTGAGTTATCAGTAACAACCCTCTGCAAACCTGACCCAGGCAAAAGGGCAGGTTTTGAGCAGTCCACAGCAAAAAGGCTGGTGTGAGATAAAGAAAGAGAGGGAAGTGGGTCAGCCTTGGAAATTCAAGTTATGGTGCTTTCTATACAGCATTTCCATCACACTTGCACTGCCACAGCCAGATTTTTACACCAAACTGCAAAAAATAACTCTGGCAAGAAATGAAGCACAGGAAGTGCTAGGGAAAAGAGGACTTCACAGAAAAAAATATGTAAGTCAAATTTAAGAGAGACAATCCCAAGTAATATCATTACCAAAATCAGTTAGTGGGTGAGCCTTGCAGTGTGTGATCTCACATGTGGTTTCTTACTGATTATTTATCAGGTGCTCCTGGTGTGTGATGACAAGCACAGAATTAATAGGTTTGTTGTTGCTGTGGCTCAATCTGGGATTAAATAACTCATAACCAGCCTTCTTTTTATTCATTTATTTATTTTTAAAGCCTCCCTGGAGAGCCTGTGTGCCCATTGATCCAGGCTGCCGTGTCTGTGTGTCAGTAATGGCAGCGCCGCGCTGCTGCTCCCAGCTGAGGGGAAGCTTTCAAGCCCAGTATTGATCCTTTTGAAGTTTGTTTGCTCATAGTCACAGTGACAAGCCCTTGTTCAAACTGCCATGAGATGGGCTGTTTTATTTCTTAATATCAGGCTAAACCTCCTCCACGTCAAAAAGATTTATTTCTGCACTTAATTTTTCCAACACGTAGTTTTGGTCTCAGAAATGGAGCTGACATTTCTATGTGGCACTAATGCAGCTCTTAGAGCTGCCCTGATGGATTTCAGTCTCCCCATGTGCCAGGAGAGGCAGTGGGTGCCAGCAGCCCAGGACAGGGCACCTGAACCCCGTGGGCCAGCTCCAACCCATATCCTCTTTGGAAGTTTCCTTCTCGAGGAAAAGCAGGAAACGTTGCTTTTCTCTGCAGCCATCTGTGCTCTCTTCAGCTATTGTGTGGAAGCAGAGCAGCCCTGTGCTCCTCTCCTGCCTGCAGCACACCTTTTCCAAGCTTCAGGAGGGACTATTTCTTCCCAAGCAGTAATTCCAAAACCAGAACTACCTTTCCCAGCTGCCCAGTTTCCCAGGTCAGGTTTGTGCAGCTGCTTCTCCTGTGATCCCAGATGGAACTCTGGGTGCTGCCCTCACCATCTCCTCCTCTTCCTCTCCTCAGCCGTGGTTAAAGTCAGCTCCCTGTGTGCTCCTCACACTGGTCCAGCCTTCTCTGCCAACCCAAAGAGCACCAGTTCAGCTGCCCTCGGGCTGCATCCTTCACACCCTGTTTTGGGACTGAAGAATTTGGGTGCTCCAAGAGCTCGGTGGGATCATTCTATTCCACCAGAGTTATTAATGACCAAACCAGCCTTTCCTGGCTCTGCCCCTGAGGGAGCCAGGGTGAGTTGTGCTGTCTGAAGGAGGGTGACAGTGCAGTGGTGGCCTGGGCACAGTCCTGCCTGCCTAAGCACTGCCAACTCTGAGAAGTTTTACCCTGAAAGAGCTGCTCTCCTTGACCTATTTTTTTTTTTTTTTCACACATCCATGGCCTGCGTTGTGTCCTGAGGAAGAGATCACACTGCTCAAAGGCCCTTTATTTTTAGCCAGCCCAATTTCTTCTTGCAGTTTAGTGGGATCTGGTCCTTTCAGTTCAGCTCCATCACTGCTCACGATCTCCAGCATTTGATTGCTCCTACCCAGGTCCTGGTGCTCTTTGTACATCCATTGCTCACTCAGAGGGTTTCCTACTCCCCTTTCACTGGCTTCATTCCTTCTCCTGTATGTTCTGCTCAGCCTCTCCCACTGCTCCAGATCCATGGCTGAATCTCTGATTTCCCATGGCCCTTGGCTTACAGCATGGACCAGGTATTCACAGCCACAGGCCACCAGGCTTGTCCTGGACCTCAGCACCCCTCCACAAACAAACCCTTCCCTCCTGTCTGCTCTGATAAGCTTGGCAGTGCTTCTCTTCCTCCCAAATGTCAGGAAATTGGAAATGATGTCACATAAAAATCAATGGCTTGGCCCTGCTCCTTCTGCCTTTACCCAGGGCAGGAGGGAGCTGCTGTTTTCTGGTGAACCCAGAGCAGTGATTTATTGAGGTGACCCATCCTGTCCAGGCAGCTGACCAGTGATATATTCATTTTTCTCAGCCCACCCACACAGCCCAGAGCAGTGGCTGATGCTTGGCATTAGGCCACAGATGTGGGCTCAGAAATCTGCCCAGGATATTTCCTTTTGTGACTGTGGAGCATCAGGTAAGGACTTACCCCAAATCTGGGTGAACTGCGTTAGAATCAAAGCCAGTGCTCATTTCATTTCCCAAAGGATTCAGCCCCAGCAAGGGCCATGTGCTGTTTCCATCAGCAACTGTTGCTCCAAGGCAAGGAGAAATTAATTACAAAGACTGCAGATTATGTTGCAGACTGCCTTTATTTTTCCCTGGACTACTACCAGGATGCACAGCATGATGGAAGGAGCAGGAGCAGTTCTAAGGTTCTATTTCCTGGAAATCGTTGGGACTCTATTCATTTAATTTAAAATCCAACTCCTGTTGGAAACCAAACAGCCATAGGAAGCATAATACAATTGATAAAGGTCACTGTGGATTAAATCCTTCCTGATAATCAAGCCAGCTCCTGTTCTTGTCCTTGAAAACCCTTCCACTTGGGAGCCCTGTGAATCCTGCAGGCGCTGGACCTGCGGAAGGTTTGTTTCAGGCAGATGTTCTGCACCACCCCTACCCCTGTTCCCCATCACATCAGGTTGAATTCTATGTGCCAGCGAGGCAGAAATAGGCACCAGTCTCTAACACATCCATGATTTTATGAAATTGAAGTGTGAGAGGGAAAGGAATGAGGCAATTGAGAGGTGCAGCTCCGACGCCCGGCTCCTGTCCCTGCTGCTCACGTCACACCAACAGAAATGAGCCCAAATGGGTCTATTTTCCAGTGCCTGATGTTGGTGGACAGCAAATCACAGGAAATACTTCATTACTCCCCTCTAAGTGTCTTTATCTGGACCTTCACATACTCTTTACTATGATTTTTGTCTTGTTATTAGCTAAAATGTGCAGGGAGGATGGTTGTTGATGATACATGAGCCAAGAATAGATTGCAGTTCCTTCTACCATTTTGGCACCAAAATGCCAAGAGGGATGAGACACCCTGTAGTAAATGCTGTTCATTTTGAGGCAGCAGCTAGAAAATATGGCTCTGGCTGAGCTAGGGAGAAGAATGGGTGAGCCAGAGGAGTGTTTTGGCTGTTTGATTACTGAATCCAATGGGAATCCATAGAGATGGGAAATGGCATCTTCCCTGGGAGATGGCAGGTGCAGGGCTGATGTGCTTCTCTGCCCCACAGCCACCATAGGAGGCTCCTAATTCTTCAGGGGAAAAAAATCTGAGCATCCTCTCAGTGCTTGGCTCCTTGCTCCCCTAGCAGGAGGTATTTCTCCTGGGAGCACATCCTACTTTTCTTGAGTATTAAATAACATCGAAAATGAGGCTGGTTAGCAAAGCCAAAGGTAGAGGGAAAGCTTGCAGGAGTGTGAGCTGGAGCACTTTTTTGGACTCTCTGGAGACAGCAATCCCCTTCCTGTAGGTTGGAACCTTCTGGGAAAAGGCACAGTGTGAACGTAGGAAGAGCCAAATCTTTAATTTCATATGGAAGGGAATTGTCAAAGCTGTGCAGCGCTTGAGGGTGAGAGTACATCTGCTTCCTACCAAGATGTGCTGCCTGCTTTGGACTCAGGGTCACATCCCATAATTAAAGACTCTCTCTCCTTCTCTGTCTTTCACTCAAGAATTTGATACTCTTCCAGCACCATTCCCTGCTTTTCTCTCATATCGATGCCCTGAGCAGTGAGCTGGAGGGGCACACAGACCTTGGATGCTGCATCTGTTCAGGAAATGCCTTTCTTTGGACTCCACGGTAACTACAAGTTTCCTTCATGTTAATCCAAATGAAACTGCTGCAAACACAACCCAGGATGGATGTGGAGAGCTGGTGCTGTGGATTTGTGAGACAGAAATGCTGGGGATGAGCACTGCAAGAGCTCAGAGCTCCCCAGAGCGCTGGAGGAGCAAAAAAACTCTCTCAGCATCACATACTCACCTTCACCATGAGGGAATTATGGCACAACATTATCCTTGGAGGCTTTCAGGTGTAAAAGTACAAGCTGTGTACTTTTTGGCATCTCTGAGAGTCTGTGTAAGCAAGGGAGAAATAATCTATTTGCATCAGAGGCACTAGTAAAAAACACCCTCCTCCAGTCTGGCCATGTTGGAACAGAGAGTTGTCATCACCTGGTCCAGGCAGGATTTGTGTCTCCTGATTTAATCACTAAACCCACGACCTTTACTGCAGTGATAATAGCAACAGGACTTCTCTCCCAAGGAGTCTGTTCACCACAGGAGTGATGGAGCTGCTTCTGAGGGTGTGAAACAAAACCAGTGCAGTTCTAAGGGGAGTCCAAGGAAGCTGCAGCCTGCTTAAAAAAGTCAGTAGCTTTTGTTGTCTAGCTGGATTTAGATTTCTTTTCCTTATTTCTTGCAGTGCTGAATAGCAGCAAAATGGGCCCTGGAAAATATACATGACATGGCACTTATCTGTGATTCATTCTGCCTTTATAGCAGCAGTCAGTAGCACTATCTGCCTCCTTGCTACTCCACACAAGACCATCTCTCAAACTCATCTTTTTCCTTCTTGCTCTTATTCCTTTAATCTTGTGTTGCTGTGGGTTCCCCCCACCCCTTCCCCCCATACCAATTTCACTTTTTCTCCCCTGCACCAAGAACTCTGATTTCTGGTTCTATTTTATCAGTCTGCAGGGCACCATAGGAACTGCTGATTTGCCCAAAGTAGCAAATGTGCAATAAAATAATAATAATTTAAAAAGATGCTATACATAAGTGACATGGAGATGGGGGAAGCTTTTCCTTTAAGGTTTGCCCAGGGCCTGGCTGCAGCTCTCTGTCCCCATTTCCCTGCCTCCCTCCAGAGCACAAGGCAGGTTTGGAGAAGGGAGGGTAGTGGCAGTTCTGGCAAGAGCAATACAACAAAAAAAAAAGCAGATTATTGTGTCATGCCACTCTGCTTCAAGTTATTTGATGATGTCATAAATGTAGCATGGCATTTGCAAAATTAGCATGATCTCCTAATTGGTAGATCTACCATGGAAGTGGAAAAGTGGCAGTGTTGGAAGGGAGTGGGATGATGATGGAAGCTGCTTGGGGCTGGGCTTGGTCCAGCAGTTATGAGCAGCTTTGTTAATCCCTGACTGTGGTGTCCGTGATCATCAGCAGCTCCTGTGCCAGGGTCTGCAGTGCTTGATAAGGCTCTGCAGGGAGATAAGATGCTGCCTCCATCCTTGGGGGGATCAGTGCCAGCTCTGGCTGGAGCAGCAGGAATTCACCTGCAGCAAATCCAACAGGAGCCAGGGAAGGAGCTGCTTCCATTCCTGTCCGTACTGTGCCACTCCCCATCCCATCTGTGCTGTGCCATTCCCATTCCCATCCATTCTGAGCCATTCCCCATCCCATCTGTGCTGTGCCATTCCCGTTCCCATTCCCATTCCCATCCATGCTGTGCCATTCCCATTTCCTATTCCCATCCATGTTGTGCCATTCCCATTCCCATCCATGCTGTGCCATTCCCCGTCCCATCTGTGCTGTGCCATCTCCATCCCATCCATGCTGTGCCGTTCCCATTCCCATCCATGCTGTGCCATTCCCATTTCCCATCCCATCCATGCTGTGCCGTTCCCATTTCCTATTCCCATCCATGCTGTGCCATTCCCATTGCCCATTCCCATCCATGCTGTGCCATTCCCATCCATGCTGTGCCATTCCCTATCCCATCCATGCTGTGCCATTCCCATCCATGCTGTGCTGTTCCCATTTCCCATTTCCATCCATGCTGTGCCATTCCCATCCA